ACTTTTCTTAATTTTTCGTTTGTTTGCATTTCCATAGCACTTTACAAAATGGCTTTCAAGTAAAAAGAAGATATTTTGCATTTCCATATTTAATGAAGACCCAGCATTGGAACTCATTCTTGTAGCTCTGTGTTTTTTGTTATCTGAATGGATACTTAGAAAGGAGATAAATATTAAGTTCAGTCCTTTGTGTGAACTGGAGGCTGAATGATATAAATTTACACAGTCAAGGCACTTTTCCACGGAAAGACAATGGACTTTGGTTGCCCACGGTCAACACCGCTGGTCCATTTTCTTTTCCTTATTTTCCAGTTTTGTGCCAGGCCATGTGCAGCGGGAGCCAGAGGTTATGCTAACTAAAAAACAGGCCACCTCACATTTAGATCCGAGAGGAAGCACTTTTGATTCTACAACCTGCTTAATTGTTCTTTATTATTTCCTCTCTTGTTCAGCAACGTGATCATATCAGTTCGACTCCAAGTAATAGAAAGCCAGACTAAAAGTGGCTTCAACAAGAAGGAACTTACTTTACTCATCTCGCAACTTGCCTGGAGGGAGGGGTTGCTGGTGTTTGTTCTCTGACTCAGTGACATTAGAGTGTGCCCTCTGCATTGCTGTTGGCCTTTCTCTCCTGGAACAAGAGAGCTTTCTTTGCTCTAGGCAGGAGGAAGGCAGGCCTAGAAACTAACCCCCAACCCCCATCTAGAAGCTTCTAGCAATTTCTCTCTCACTGCCCAGCAGCTTGGTTGCATGGTAAACTCACTCACTCTTCCCTTTTTCTTCTATTCTTCTTCAGTCTTCTTTTAAAACTCCTTTCTTTCACTGAAGGTGTACAGATTGTCTCCTGTTTTCTTCTACTGGTTTTACAGTTTTGCCTTCCAATTCTAGGTCTTTCACTTACCTAGTGTTTTCTTTTCTAGTGTATTGTAAACAGACCCGTTTCTTCTCCTTTCCTAACTGCACTGGTCTTATCCAGCTTTCTCACACTGTAATTTGTTACTGTAAACTCCTGTGTAATGGGAATTGTCTTCTGTGGGAATCCACTTTATTCTGGGTTAATGAAATGACCCCAAAGAGAAGTTGCATTCACTTCTTTCCACTGGTTTTTGATCAGTTTTGCCTTTTCATTTCTTTGAATCTAACATTAGTTTGGGATTCTAGAATCCCTTGCCAATGTAAGGTCAGGTCTGTGTGCGCTCTTGATAGAGGCCTGTGGTTACTTTCTTGACTTTGCAAGTAGAGTTTTCTAGTTGGTGGGCAGCCTGTGCAGTGGCAGTGGCCAGTCCTTCCAATGTTCTACTCTGCCTGCTGCAGGTTCTCAGTGCCAGGTCTCACCCACCACTGGCCAAAGCCTGTCATTCTCAATTCCTGGGCACAAGTTCTCATTTACTGGTTCATCAACTCCTGCTTGGCTGCTCTGGCTTGGACAGCTTCTACATGTCTAGCCACCTGGCTGTGTGTCTAGCACCTGGCTGTGTGTCTGGTTCCTGGGTTTTTTGATTTTGTTTTAGTTTAGCTGTGCACTTAAAGTTTTGCGTTATTAGGGGTACTGTTTGGATTTATACTCTGTGCTTCCCGAAAGGCAAAGTTTTGATCCCCAATAAATGCTCTTTGTTTTAAACGAACATTAAGTGGTTATTATAATCTCTAGCAAGTGGTGTGAATTTGAGGATCACAAACATGAAATCGCTCCTCACGTACTCCGGGTCCCCACCCCATCTTCTTCCTTCATGGCCATTCTGGAAGGTCTCATGGTTTTCAGGCCACTTTGGTTATAAAACTAGTCATATATTTAGGAATTAGGACTAATTCTTTTGGCATTAAATAATCCAGGACAGTTTAGCCTAAAATCTCAAATTCCCTTCTATCTCAAACTCGGTCCAACTTGTGTTTTTACAGCAGAAAACTAGACTCTTTTTCTTTATATATATCTACACCTATGAGAAAACTTTAAGCATAGAGGCGGCTAGGCCAGAAAAGGGCATGGTCTGATGGAAGAAAAAAGAACAGTGCTAGGCCAGCATTTTGAAAGGTTTAGATAGAATGTCATAAAAGAAGACTTGGATGGGCTCCACGGTGTTCATATATTTGAAGAATCATAGGTGCTGGTTGCCTGGTGAACCAGCCCTGTGACCTGAGGGCTGGACTTCCTAGAAGAGGAGAGGCCTGGAAATAGAGGTTAATCTCCTATGGCCAATGATTTAATTAGCTGTACTTATATAATGAAAGCCTCCATCAGAATCCAAACGGATGGGATTTGGACAGTGTCTGGCTTGGAGCACCGAGAACATACCTTGCACTATGTGTCTCATCCATCTGGCTTTTCCTGAGTAACATCTTTTTAAAATAAACTAGAAATCTAGTAAATAAACTGGTTTGCCAAGTTCTGTGATCTGCTTTAACAAATTACTCCAAAATGAGGAGGGAGTCTTGGGAATCTCCAGTTTCTCACTGGTAGACCAGAAGTCCAAATGACAACCTGGCCTTTCATTTGGCATCTGAAGTGTGGACGAGGGCAGTTTCACTAGAGTGAGTCCTTAACCTGTAGGAGCTGATTTTCTCTCCAGGTAGATAGTGTCAGAATTGAATGACATTGTAGCACATGAGCTGATATTGGAGAATTGCTTGGTAGTTGGGGGGAAAACATTGGAGGAATCATCCACACTGTTTTGAAACTTGCTTTTTTGCCTAAAATATCTTAGCTTGCTCTCACACCAGTGTGTGTGTGTGTGTGTGTGTGTGTGTGTGTGTGTATATATACCCATCATCTTCTTTGTCTTCTCCTTTTTTTTTTTTTAATAGAGGCATATTTATTTATTTATTTGTTTGTTTGTTTATACATGCACTGGGTACAGTCAGAAGCGCGGGAGGGTGAGAGAATTCACCAGAGCCAGAGTGGGGAGCAGAGCAGGCAGAAGGACCGAAGTACACTGCTGAGGGGAGCAGCGGGCGGCAGGAGAGGTCTGCGCACCATGTGGGTCCTTCCTCAGGTGGCCGGGGAACAGCCGGGGATCGAACTGGCGCCGCAGAGGCCGCGGGCAGCTTCGCAACCCAGCACTCAACCGCTGCGCCACCGGGGAAGCCCTGTCTTCTCCTTTCTGATACTAAAGGAGACATGTACCCAGAACCATAACCAGCCATTTACAAATGATTGCCAGATCTCATTGCACAGGAAAACTGGGTGATAGTGTCAGAAGGTGAGTTCAAATCCAGCACCACTGTCAGAGAAACCATAAGTTGGCCCATTGCCTTCATTGCTCTCATAAAGTGCAGAACACAGTCATCCAATGAAATATATCACTTCTGTTTGGGTATAAGAAGAGAACTGGTGGCGGAGAGGATGGCAATTTGATCTGAGGAGTAGTTGATACTGATTTTATTTTGACTTCTGAGTCTTTTTACTTCTAGGAATGCAAATTTTAAAATGCTGGGCAAAACCATCAGTTACCTAGTATGAAGTTGGTAAGAGACACAGGAAAGAAATGAATTTGAAAGAGAGGAGCACCCAGGAAGAGACATCATTCCTTTACCAAAAAGAAAGACTGGCCCCATTTTAAATACAAAATAGGGTCTAGAAATACACTTGGTTGGTGGGAAGTGCATTTTGTAGAAAGAAAGGCAGAGCCGTTGTTCTCACCACATCTCTTTTATTGACACTGCTTTTCTCTATACAGTAAACCTTTTCCTGAATCATCCATATTGGAATTCCAGGAAGATGTCTTAAATATGTTGCTATAGTTTGCAGTTGTCAACTGTAATGTTTTATTTAGCTCAATCTTTTTTTTTTCCACTGCTCCCTGTACAACACAGAACACCATATGCCATTGTCCCTGTCAGGAAGCAAAGGTTTCCCTGCTCTGTGCCTGTGTCGATGTTTATGCCACAGAGAATCTGTGGTCCGGTGCCATCTTTTATTGATAGGGCCAGCAAAGGAGAAATCTAATGAAATTATCAAAGCTTTGAATTAATTATGAACTTGAATAGGAGAGCTAAGCTCTCTGGAGCCAAGGATCTCATTACCCATGCACTCTCATTGCATCCTCTTCTGGAGCAGAAGGCATTTTCAGCTACAGTTCTTAGCTTGGCTTTGGACTTTATTCAAACTCGCTAAACTGACATCCTCTTTTTACTGCGATGTGGATGCTAATGTCCATGATGATTAATTTAATTTTGCTCTGGATCTACAGGAGATGTCAATAGGTTTCTCTACCCCCTCCTTTTTTTGCCTTTTATTATTTTTTTTTTCATCAAATTGGATGCTATGCAAGTTTTTGTCCTTTTTGGGTAATATAGAAGCTTTCAAGATTCGGGTATAGTTTCATGGAATATAGTGATTGAGTTAAAAGTTAAGAGCTATATTATATCTACAGTGTATTTCCTGGATATTTCGGTAAGCACAAAGTCAAATATTTCTTCTTTGAATGTTGAACACCAAATGGAAGTTTCTCTTGCTTGTTTCTACTTTAGAGTAATGTTATGGCAGTAACTTCCATAATCTTAACATCTTTGTTCCTAATGTGTGTTGTTTGAGAACCACAGTTCTCACCTTGTGCTGTGACTTATAGCACTTATGCTTCCTGATAGAGAGTAGTTAATGCTTGCTTTACAATTCTGATTTCCCTTTTCCCAGTAATGTGAATTTGTTTTGATGAATAAATTAACCTGATTGTTTTAAGTCTAGTAGCAAAATCAATAACAGCAGGTTTCTATTTACTGTTGGTGATGGTTCTTTGATGCTATCATATAGGTGCAAAGCATCTCATGGCAAGCCTTTTCTGCTTGCTTTTGAGACCCATTATTTATGAATTCCTAAGCAGCAGCTCATCTGTCTTAGTAAACTACAGGCCACTGGCAGTTTTTGTAAGCAGTGACTAACTTTGCTTTATAGAGTCACTGTTTAAAGGTTTTGAATAGTGGGGGATGGGAGGATGAGAATCTTTGCTTTTTCTTTTCTCATTTACTTTCAATGAGTTGTTTTTCCCCATTTATTTTCTCTCTAGGCAGCTGCAATATTTAATTCAGCCTTTGGAAGTTTTTTGGTAAGTAAACATAGTTCAAAACTTATCTGTTATAACTTTTGTTGTGATATTTGTCTGAAAGACATAATGACAATTGGATTTATTTTACTGTTTGTTTAAATATAGAAGTTCTTGAATTTTTTCATGTGTCCATCATTCATGCACTGAAGAAAATTAGTTATTAAATAAAGGAAATGTCCTCTTGTAATATAATTTGGAGGCTTGGGTTTAATATTTCATTTATTGGATTCAAAGAATCCATTAAAATACTGCATGTCTTCTTATAGAGATTATGTCAATGTATTGATCATCAAATGAGGTCCTTAGATTATTATTATTATATATCACAGGGCTCAGGATTTTGATAAGGGAAACATGACCCAGCTGGTCGGAAAGGGAATGCTAATTTACTTGTTGACATGTCATTTATTTTGTACATTTCACTGTCAAAGAAGCTACTGTCTTGGACATTGTGAAGAATTCTATGTGAAAAAATTTGGAATGAGGAAATAACTAATGAGTAATTTGCAAGAAAATTTAATGCTTTTTTGAGATATCAACTATAAATTGTTTATAATAAGATTAAAAATTGGTTCCCTTCCCTAAGTGGAAACAATATGATTAGAAGGAAAGTACTATTTTAGCATTTTGAATAATATTTAAATATACAATGTAATAAACATTTGATTATATTATAAAAGAATGAGAAAGAAATGGAGTTTTCCATTAATTGAATATTTTCATTTATACCCTAAACTTTGCTAAATTTATGACAATAAATCAGAATATTATGTTTTTAGGTGTGTAATTCATTAACAGATAATTAGTACAGTGATTTACAAATAATTAAGACTAAATCATTGTGATGTAAGCTAATTCATGAACATAGGTGAAATATCAATTACTTCTGTTTAAAGTGTTATTTGTGTTGTATGTATTCAAATGTAGTTGAAGCTTTTAAACATGTTATATATGTTAAATCTGCATAATAGTATATAGTTTTTAATGTCCTATTGTTAAAGAGGTTTTAATAATGCAGCTTCTGCAAAATATATCCTTAGTTTATCTTATTTTTAAAAGAACAGTATTACTCCTAATGTTGTATCATCATTGAGTTTTAGAAGAGAGGTTATAGAGTACAATGAAAATGACCTCTTGAGTTACTCATTTTAGACTCAGTAGTAGGTCTTTGTTTAGAGGTCTTTATTTCAGGTGTCCAAGCATTATTTTCTATATGTTGTCATAATCGACAGAATAACACCTGTGAAATATGATCTTATTAGGAGCCAATTTCTTGGTTGGTTTAGAATCATACATATCTACTATCAAAGTATAGTTTACTGAGTTGGCTCTCTTACCCTTTAAAATATGTAGGGTAATTCAGAAAATAAGGTTCAGGTAATTTTCTGAATAACTGGCAAAATATGTCTCTTAATTGATTGATAAGTTTACTAAGTATGATTTGAGCTTTGCATTGACTGTATGAACATGAACATATCATGACTTTTGTTCTTCCAGGCCCAACTCTTTGATAAGATCAGGTGAAATAAAACTTGTCCTAGGGTTTTTTTTAGGATTTTTATTATGCTCTTCCACTTGTAAGAAGTTGCACACTCTTGATCCTTAGTTTTCTCCTTTTTTCCTTTCCATAATTTCTTAAGTGAGTTAATCACCCACAAGTTTGTATTGGTCTCATGCCATACAGAGGTAGTTTTCTAGTCAATGGGAGAGGGCAAAGAAAGATGGCATGGCTTGTTCTACTAAATTCTAAGTGGAAATGACACATAGGAAAACAAATGCAATGTAATAGTTAACAATTCAATCAAAAGATGTAACTAGATGATATGTGATGTCAAATGGCACAGGAAATACGCATTCTGAATTCAAAGGTGGATAGATGCAATTTCATGGCGTGGGGCTTTGAAGTATGATAGAGCTTAAGGAGTAGAGAAGAGAGGAGGGGAATGGCTTGAGGAACGGCAGTGAGGCAGAAGTGTCTTTTTTCATGTTTCATTCCCCTCCTTTATATTTCCCCAAATTGAAAATTACCACAGAGGGTTTGAGAATGAAATGTTTGATTAGAGATGTTTTGCCCTATTGTAATAAGAGAAATAATTCTATTTTTTCTCCTCTTCACTGTAGTTACAACAAATCTTGGATTATGAAATGTGTATAAGTTTGAACTAAGTCAGTTAGAATTAGGTTCAGCTTATTTAATAGAAAAAAACCCCACTACATTATAGTGACTTACACAAGACAAAGATTTTTCTCCTCTACTTTGTAAAATCTGGTAGAAGGCTAATCAGGTGTAGGATAGTGACTTCATGGTCTCAGTGTTCACCAAGAATCTGATCTTTGTCCACCACCCTCGGTACTGTAGATCTTCCTTCCTTAAGCTTGTCTGATGGTACAAGATAGCTGCTGGAGCTCCAGCCTAAAAGATATCTGGATAGCAAAGCCTTCACCTTGGGGAAAGACCAAAGAACTCACCTAACAGCTAAGTCTCTTTTCTTTAAACAACCTTCCTGGAATTTCCAACACCATGCTTACAGTAATAGCTTACAGAACTTAGTCATAGGATGACACCTAACCGCTGGAGAGATTGGGATGTGTGGCAATTTGTTAAGAGTTAATGATTGGATTTCTGTTACCAAGGAAGAAGAGAATGGGTATTGAGAGGTAGCTAGCACTTTCTGTGTATGAGCAGTGTGTGGCAGTTGTCAAGAATTCAGAGAGATTAATCGCAGTCGAATGCTACGAAAAGCCTCAAGGGAGAAGTAGTATTTGAGTTGGACTTGGGAAGAAGTCTTCTTTTAAAGGGAGGAAAATTCCAAATGATAGCTTTTGTGAGTTTTTTGGTTATTCTTAAAGGGGAATTGTTACTAGTCTTTTGAGGAAAATTTCTATATAATTGGAAAATACTTACCAATCTTTAAAATTCAGGGTTATGGGAAGTAGCACAGTTTCTGGAGTCACACTATTTGCAGTTGAGTCCTTACTTGACGGAATGCTAACCTACCCATATGACCTTCCCTATATATAAAATGGGATAATGACAGTTGTGGTGAGGATTAAACTATACAGTTGTGAGGATTAAACAGAATCATCTGTATAGAAAACTTGCATGACATGGGAGGAATAACCAATTGGGTTTTGCATAAACTCTCCCATGAATTTTTTTGGCATGACCCTGGCCATCCATAGAATGAAGGAACTGGTTATCTAAAGAGTTCTAAAATACACCAAGGTCCTCATTATTCACTGGTTATCAGGGGCTGTTTCTTTTGTCTTTACCTAATGGAATGCATAAAAGGTATTTATTTCAGATTACATTAAATTTTTGAATGAAAGGCTTTTATTAGAAGGATTTTTGAAGAAAGAACTCTGAGGGCATTCTTGTTGATTTTCAGACATCTGGGTATACCAAATAAAATTCCTTACATATTTATAGTGAGTTTAATAATGTCCCAGGTCTAATTAAAACACAGTGTTTTTAAGAACTAATTGTTACAGAAAACTGGTTTGTTTTTTTTTAATGTAGCTAGGCTGGTAATAACCAATGATAGATGAATTCAATTTACATAAATTTCAGACCAAGAGAATATTTTAAAATCATGCCACAGAGGATTGCTTTAAGTTAAAAAGTTAATGTCATTATCTCCTTCTCTCATTTAAATTGTTCGGTTTACAATAATTGTGAAACATAATAAGTGTTCTGAGATTTCCCGCTCCATGAGATTTTAATAAAATTTGATAGTCAACCTAAATAACTAAAATGTTATTCACAGACGTATATTTTCCTATGTAAAGTCATGTATTTCAAGTGTAAACATCTCGTGTTGCCTCTTCATCAAAAGAATTATTTAATAATTAGATATTGACAACTTTTTGAAAAATTCTTTTTCTAATTTAGAAAGATCCAACTGTGCTGAAAAACCACTTTGACACCCCCCACCCCCAATTTGTTAGATTTTAGCATTGTAGATTTAGAGGCTATTTTCAGTATTTCCATGCTTGAAGAATTATAGGTGAAGGTTTAAAAGGAAAAGATAGAACTTTTTCTTTTTAGACTCCTAGGCCTATTTTTTTTTTGTTTTATTGGTAATTTGTGATCTTACAGGGAAATGATAGTAGGTGACACAGTTGATCACACCACAGTGAGTTCCCAGTCACTGTGTCACACAGCATTACAGCAATCATGGCAACGTAAATGCAAGAACTTCGAGAAAGCAGCAGAAAGTTATAAGCAAAGTTAAGTTAGCTTTGAAAATGCACAGCGCATTGTGTACAAAAGCTAGGAGAGTCTGTTCATTCTCTCTGTGTCTTCATTTAATGTATCAAAAATGGATTTCTTTCATATAATTCTTTTCTAAAATAGTCATTGCTTAGTTGCTGGGACTACTAAAATTAATAATTTTGTTTCTTTTTATGCACTGGGTTAAAAGGCAACCCAGTGCCTTGAGTTGAAGAACTACTCAGCACATAACAATTTACCCAGGGCCTCCCCGGTGGCACAGTGGTTGAGTGATGGGCTGCAAAGCTGCCCGCAGCCTCTGCAGCTCTGTTTTGATCCCCGGCCACCGGCGAGGGTCCCACAAGGCGCCAGACCTCTCCTGCCGCCCACTGCTCCCCTCAGCAGTGTGCTTCGTCAGTCTGCCTGTTCTGCTTCCCACTCTGGCTCTGGTGAATTCTCTCACCCTCCCGCGCTTCTGACTGTACCCAGTGCTTGTATAAATAAATAAATGAAATCTTAAAAAAAAAAGAATTTTATAAAAAACAAAAAACAAACAAAACACAAAAAAAACAATTTACCCAACTATTGTTCTTGCTTCTTTGTTTCGCTAGGTCCGCCATTACAACCCAGCTTTGTAGGATGAGTTGAATAGTTAACAGACTCTGTTGTAGTTGCTGAAAGAAAAGAAATCTCAAATACAAATGCCACATCTTATAACTTGGGTTGTATGCTATATATTTGTCACCATCTCTTATTTTTCCTTTCTTGTACAAAAATATGCTCAGTC